TGCTCAAGAGAGTATGGCGCTAGTCCATCGAAAAACAAAACTAGGTCTCGAGCGGGAACGCTGGTTTTGTTGGGACGGCGGCTTTCAGCGGCGAGCAGGAGCACCAGCCCTGAATAAAAAAGGAGGCCTCGAGCGGGAGCCGTGGTTTTGTCGGGACGGCGGCTGTCGGCGGCGAGGAGCAGCACCGTCCCGAGGAAAAAGAGAGGAAGTCTCGAGCGGGAGCGTTGTTCCTGCTGGGAGCGGCGCCAATTCAAAAGAGAGTAGGGCGCCAGTCCAGCGTAAAACGGGAGGAAGTCTCGGTCCGGAGCGCTGGCTTTGTCGGGGCGGCGGCTTTCGGCGGCGAGGAGGAGCACCGCCTTGAGTAAAAAGGGGAGGAAGTCTCGAGCGGGAGCGTTGTTGTTGCTGGGGGCGGCGCCGATGAGAGAAAGAGTGGCGCGCCAGTCCAAGGTAAAACGGGAGGAAGTCTCGAGCGGTAGCGCTGATTTTGTTGGGACGGCGGCTTTCAGCGGCGAGCAGGAGCACCAGCCCTGAGCAACTGAAAGAGGAAGCCTCGAGCGGGAGCTGTGGTTTTGTCGGGACGGCGGCTGTCGGCGGCGAGGAGCAGCACCAGCCCTGAGCAACAAAAGAGGAAGCCTCGAGCGGGAGCGTTGTTGCTGTTGGGGGGCCGGTTTTGGCGCCCCCCCAAACCGCTCGAGCGTGAGCCTCGAGGCCGGCGCCGAGGCGAGGGCGCCAGGGCGCCTGGGGGGGGTCCAACAGTAATAACTGTTTAGTCATTAACATGCATCAACAACAAAATCAGTAACAACAACAACAACAGCAACAGCAACAACAACAACAACAACAACAACAACAACAACAACAACAACAACAACAACAACAACAACAGCAGCAGCAGCAACAACAACAAAAACACCAACGACAACAACAACAGCAACAACAACAACAACAGCAACAGCAACAGCAACAGCAACAACAACAACAACAACAACAACAGCAGCAGCAGCAGCAACAACAACAACAACAACAGCAATATATATATATATATATATATATATATATATATATACACATATATATATATATATACATTTCTATCTATATATATATATATATACAGATTCACAAGACTGCAGTGGCGCTTCGCGCCATGCACCTTGGTCCTTGAAGTTTGGTATGCAGGCGGGATGGGAAGAAGGTCGAATAAACAATTTAGCAATAACTCCTTGTTGCCTTTTCCGGCATTGCCGTTATGATAATGTGATTCGTTATCCTTCCTCTATGCGTCTTTTTCCTCATTCTCGCCCTACCGTGCGCATTCTCCCCATCCTCCTCAGCTCTTTTTGCGGAGAGGGCTTCACACAAGTTTCTCAAGCTTTCTGAAGGCCTTCTGGAGGCCTCATGGGCGTCTTCTGGGGGCCTCTGGGGGCTTCCTCGGGCCATCTTGCCTCCAACCGCAGTCTCCCTGAGCGACCGGATCACGATTTGGAATGCTCTTGGGCCACCATGGGGCTCTCTCAGGGCCATCTTGGAGCTCTCTTGGACTGCCAAGAAGCCATGCCGGATGGTTGTGGGGCGATTTTGGAGCCTCCCAGGCGGTTTCGGATGCCCAGAAGTCCACCGTCTTGGAGCTTCGGGAAGCCGAAAGAAGGAGAGCCTCAAAATTCACAATTATCCTGGCGACGGACCCAACCATATGCAATTACGAGTACCACAAAGCAGGTTGAACGAATGAGAGGGAACTCCCTAAGGGGCCACGAAACGTGTGAGGGGTGTGCCGAAATGGGTGCGGTGCCGCCATGCGAACGCAGCCACTGGGGCCCTCGGTGGAGCTCCCTATGGGGCCACGGAACGTGTGAGGGGTGTGCCGAACGCCATGCGAACCAGCCATGAGTGGGCCACGGGTGAGGGGTGCCGAAATGGGTGCGGTGCCGCCATGCGAACGCAGCCACTGGGCCCTCGGTGGAGCTCCCTATGGGGCCACGACTGGTGAGGGGTGCGCCGAAATGGGTGCGGTGCCGCATGCGAACGCAGCCACTGGAGCCCTCGGGGAGCTCCCTATGGGCCACGCCTGCCGAAACGGTGCCGCCATGTTGGAGCCCTCGGTGTGAGGCCACGAAACGCCAGTGCGGTGCGCCATGCGAACGCAGCCACTGGGGCCCTCGGTGGAGCTTCCTATGGGGCCACGAAACGTGTGAGGGGTGTGCCCGCCGCATGGCCACTGGGCCCTCGGTGGAGCTCCCTATGGGGCCACGAAAGCGTGTGAGGGGTGTGCCGAAATGGGTGTGGCTGACGCCATGCGAACGCAGCCACTGGGGCCCTCGGTGGAGCTCCCTATGGGGCCACGAAACGTGTGAGGGGTGTGCCGAAATGGGTGCGGTGCCGCCATGCGAACGCAGCCACTGGGGCCCTCGGTAGAGCTTCCTATGGGGCCACGAAACGTGTGAGGGGTGTGCCGAAATGGGTGCGGTGCCGCCATGCGAACGCAGCCACTGGGGCCCTCGGTGGAGCTCCCTATGGGGCCAC